ACGACGCAAGATGAGAAAACGCGGTGTCGTGATGTCATGGCCAGCAGTCGTCGCCGTGGACCTGTTGACTTCAGTCCTCCCGACGCACTACGTTCAGGATGACGTCGAGGCAGGGGCGGGCGGGCGTCGGCGAGCGAGGAAGAGGCTGGGTCTTGGCGAGTGTCCTTCGTTCCGAGGCGCAAGCGGCGGCGGCGGCGGATGGAGGACGGAAGGGGAAAATCAATTACCTATATTGACCCACTTGCGATACCTACTTTTCTTGCCTCTCTCGGTCTTTTCTTCTCTTGTCTTGCTTTTCGTGCTTTGGAAGTCTGCTCTGGTGGGTTTGCTTTCAATATCGTTTGCTGGGGGAAATATGTCTGAACTCCGCACCATTTCAAGGCCTTGCGGATGTGATACATCATGGGCGGATCGTCTTTCTGGAGAAAATTGGCGCCGACGATTGCGAGAACCCACTCTCCGCGCCACCTCATTAAGCGATAATTTTTCTCAAGTTGATCTCCCTACGGGCTTCTTCCCGGGTAAAGTCTGGCGCCAAACACCGTAGTCAAAGGTGGCGGCGCTCTTATCTCACTGATTGACGGGCAGCGCGATTCGTACTCAAGGACGGGCGCGTGGCCAAGAGACGGGCGGCCGCGTCCTGAGCGGGAGGGCCATGGGCCGAGCGGGGCGAGAGGTGACACTCGGGTCGCTCGCATCATGACCCGCATCGCCTTGCAGCCCCAGGCGCCCCGGGGCCGGCCGGGGGGCAGGGCGGCGGGCAGGGCGGCAGGCAGGGCGGCGGGCGTCCCTCGGCGGCGTTTGAATGTGGCGCGGCGCGGGGGGAGGCGGGGGGCGGGCGGGGGGGCGTGACGTCACGGGCGGCGGCGCATGCGCAGCTCAGTGTCGGGGTGAAGCTGGGACGGCTAAGATGGCGACCAGTAACAGCCTGGACCAGGTGTCGAGTGCAGACGTGGACCACAGTGCTGTCGCTGACATTGTTGGCTCACTTGAGACACCTTTGACCGCGCCAGCAAAAACCGCATCAAATCAAGCAGTAGATGTTAGTGCCGAGGTGGGCGTGAGTGTGGGCGTGACCGGGACTGTGCAAGCTAAAACAAACGGTGGTAAAGTAGGGTGTCGAGGGGTCCCGGCGGTCAGCGGAGGCTCAGCGGTGTTAGCAGGCAAGGCTGTGGCTCCTGCTGGCGCGAGTGTCGCTGCTGCGTCGCCTCAGGTCCTGCAGGGCGCGGGGGTCGCGGCCGCGGCGCTGAAAGGGGACTGTGGTGCTGGCGCCGCCCTGCAGGGTGGTCCCCGCCTCCCCCTCAACGCCCTCAACAACGGAGCCGCGGGCGTGAAGCCGGTGTATGGGGTGGGCCCCACGCCCATGACAGGTGGCGCCCAGGGCACGCAGGTGGTGGTGAACGGGGGTGTGTCCGGGGGGGCCCACGCAGGCTCCCCGCAGGCCAGCCTGCAGGCCCAGCCAGCTCTCAAGGGACTGACCAAGGTGGTGACCACGGCTGGAGCCGCGGGGCAGCCCGCCGTCATCATGTCCAAGCCAGGCACAGTGACCGCCGTGCCCTCGACCGGCACCCCCGGCACAGTGCCCATCCCCCAGGGCATGCAGATCCTCAACATGCGGCCCAACCAGGCCATCAAGACCACGCAGGGCACGACCACGCTCGCCCCCAGGATGATCCTCAGCCCCGCGCAGGTCCTCCCGGGGATGCGTCCAGGACAGCCCGGGGTAAGTTAGCCGGGGGAGGACCTCCCTGCGGCGGGGGAGCCGAGCGCGCGGGCGCCTCCCGGGCGGCTCTGCTCCCTCGGCAGATTCGCCTCCAGGGAGGTGTTTCCGCTGTCCTGCAATTGTCACTGAATTAATCCTAATGTTGCTCCTTAAATTGACAGAGTCATGAGAAATATGAGTAGTTTTGTTTACTGACAAGCTAACTTGCCAAGTCTGAATATAGAATGAGTCATATGAGTAATCTCTGGAAAGAGGAACACTTCATAATGGAAGCTAGGGAAGAGAAAGCTGCAAGATGGCATCCTTTCCTTTGTTACTACCTTGAGGAACACAGATAGCCAGGAGGAGAGAACCTTGTACACCTTCCAGCCCATACTGGCACTGTCCAGATGACGGAAGAGTGACAATAGGCTCTTTTAATTCTCATCTTGATGTTTTTTAAAATCAAGTCTTGGCTCTCCCTTCCCCTTTTTCTCCCCTCTTTCTCCCTTCCCCTTTTTCTCCCCTCTTTCTCCTTTCCTCCTGTTTCCTCTTACCTCTTTCCCCTCTCCTCCTGTTTCCTCTCCTTTCTTCCTCTTTTCTCCTCCTTTCTTCTTTTCTTTCCTCTCTTATCTCCTCTCCTTGTTTCTGTGCTCCCTGTCTCCCTATCTTTTTCCTTCTCTCAGTCCTTCCTCCTCTCTCCTCCGTCTCTCTCTCCGTCTCTCTCTCCGTCTCTCTCTCCGTCTCTCTCTCCGTCTCTCTCATCTCTCTCTCTCCTCTCCGTCTCTCTCATCTCTC